CCCCCCCCCCCCCCCCCCGTATTGCTTTCGCTTCCGGGGTCACCTTGACTGGAATCTGGTCGGGACCAGGGAGCTGGCGGAAGCGTCGCGCGCTACTCGTTCCCCACACCTTCCTCTACTACTTCTCTGAGCACACGGCCGAGACGGACCTTCGCCCTCACGGCGTCATCGACCTCGAGCTCTACACGGACATCCAGGTCGTCGACGGTGCGTAACAAACGAAAACCTCTCTTCTTTGGGCGGTAGCGCTGTTGCTTTCGCGCATGCCACCGTCGCTCAAAAAGTTATTGGTCATTGGCTAGCGGTTCAGGCTCTCCTGCTGGAGGCACACACAGAGATCGCCCCCCCCCCTCTTGAAAAATGTGGCGTGAAGATCGTCCATTCAGGGTGCCCCCCTAGACCATTCCCGCCCCGGGTGGGCGCTCGGCCCACGTACATTTTCAAGGCTGTTCTGTCGGAAAAACTTTTGGAATGGGGGCAGGACAATCGGCAACTCAGAATGCATGCGTATGTTCCAGAGGATGCACGTAATCGTTAGCGAGATTGTCCCCACGTGAGGCGGCGAATGATGACGTCACCATCACACACAGCAGAATCACGGCCGGTCCAAGCCCTTCATTGTCCTCGTTCGTTCGGAAAAGTTGACTTGTAGGTAGACAGCAGGTTCGCCCTAGCTAGATGCACTATTGTAGGCTCCTGTTTAGCAGCAATTTGCCTGAGTGTGGGCGTGTTGAGCTGTATCGTCGGGTATCTCACCTTTCGGAGAGCGGGTTGTTACCAGCTGTCTTGTACACCCGCCCCGCCGTTGGATCTATCCGGCAGGAGCCGGGCGAGGGCTGGAGAGTACTCGTCCTAGGATGATCAGTGCTGGGGAAGGATGTAGGATGCATCGCAGTCTTGCGGAGTTGAGCTACCTGAAACAAGCGAATCGAGTCGATCCCCCCAGTCGCTCTCTTGTTCCTCAAACGGTACAAGAACCGCCTTCACAAAATTTTCCAAATCTCGAATCGGGGACCCGGTAGGCGGAGCAAGCATACACAACGGAAGGAGTCGGCGTCATTCTCAGCCTCAGCGTCAGCGTCACAAATAGCGCAGCGAGAGTTCCAAACATCGGGCGAATCGTTTTTCTCGTGAGATTCATGCCCAGTTTGTCTCAGGAAACCAAGCAGAGTATAACACGTACAAGAGCTTCCACAAAGGAAATATTGACAGGCTAGCAAAGTATCCAGGCAATATTACAGCAGGCAACCGGCTGAACAAGTACCCTGATGCCCCCCCCCCCCCCCCCCCCCCCCCCCCCCCCCCCCCCCCCCCCCCCCCCCCCCCCCCCCCCCCCC